AAAAAAAAAAAAGTTTTCCTTTCCAGTAAGCCGTGTTGATGTTAACTAAACAATATTAAAATATTAAATATTAAAAAAATATTAAAATCGTTTTCTGTAATTTAAATAAAGCTGAAATAAAATGCAAATATAAGGTGAAAATTGAAAAGCTTGCCTTAACTGAGTCAGTGAGTTGAACTCATGAATTTGTGAATGAATCATTTAGACTGGTTTGGTGTACTGGATGAACTGATTCAATGAAAATATTCAACTCAAAAAAGCAAAAAACAAACAAATCATTGCTACTTTTCTCATGAATGCACTGATTTTCAGTAAACAATCGATTTTGATTTGTACTTCACACTAAGCTTTAAAATACTTCATAGGATGTACAGTATGGACCACTTTTTTTATTATTATTTTTATTTAAATTTTAATTTATTTTAAATCCAGTCTCCATTCATTGCATGATTAGTAAATAGTGACCAGTACTATACATGAAAACAATTTCTCTAGTTGTGTTCCACTGAAATAATTCAGAAAGTCATACAGGTTTGTAATCACTGCGAGTTAATGGTGAGTTCATGGTAACAGAATATATATATAAATATAAGTATATATAAGTATAAAAATAAATGAAAAGCATCTCTTTCATATACTGTATCCCTGAGTCTGATCTGAAATTCTGCATTTGAAATTCACTCTCCCTGCTGGTGCACAGCAGCTCATATTTGTTCCCACAGGGTGAGGAGACTCAGGTGGACTCATCAACCCTATATATGCTTGACCCCCTCTTCACACAATCCTCCTGCTTAGCAAGACGCCTCAGCCAGCCCCCCCCTCGCATTCCCTAAGCTTCTGCTCTCTTCTCCTCCACTGTCCATGTTTGCATATTGCTGTTCAAATAATTAGAGGCTTTTTTTTCCTGAGCAATCCATTAAAAGGATGGAAGATAAAAATTTCAACATCTGGTCCAGTAAACTTTTCTCGCATCAGAATGTTAATGATGGTCAAGCATTAATCTGCGGTACAGACTGTGAATAAACACTGCGCCCTTTCAACCCGCGAGCTGAAAGAGAGAAAGCATAAAAAATGCACACAAGGAAAAAAGATAAATGGCGGAGCTATGATTAAACAGCTCTTGATAGTGCTGAAGATTCTGCCACCTTTGTTATTGTAATGATCTTATCTGTAAACAACCCAATTAAAGGAAATCCGTACCCACCTCTCCCGATGATAAAAACAGAAAGAGAAAAGGAGGTGGGGAAAAAAAAAAAAACACTGCAAGCTTCAAATGTGATGGTGCTGTGGAACTAATTGTAAGTGGCAGTGTATGAGACGAAAATATGCAACGTACAGATTTTTCGTGGGTGGTAGGCGATGGAAATTCTATCTCCAACACATCCTTCATATTCTGTAGGACACTGCAGTCAGGGTTCCTATGAGGAGAGAAGGAAATCAGACCTTCATACACTAATTAAACGCATACAGTCAAGTCATGATGGTATAATGAATACAGCTCAGTGATTACTGCCCAAAAAATCCAGGATATCACTGAGAATCAACACTCTTGGCCAAGACATTCTCACCATGTGGTTTCTGATTCATTTTACACTGTAATACAGATATCCACTGAACAATATGTGCGGCATGCATATGGAATGGTAAATTTGCATTGAAATATGCAACATCCACTTTGATTCCTCGTTAATCATGTTCAACCTTCGAAAAAATGTAATCGGAATCAAACAGAAATGTATAATTATTTCCTTACCATAAATGCATATTAGCATTCAACTTATTCCTTAAAGGAGTAACAACTGAAAAACACAAGCAACAGTTAAAATTATTAACAGAATTGCAGTAACAAATGTCAAAAGTACAGATGCTTCAGTATTAACTTGATACTAGCAAACAATACTAATAAAAATTTTAATGATTTTGGTAAGATTTTTTAATGTTTTTGAAAGAAGTCTCTTAACGCTCACAAAGACTGCTTTTACTTGATCAAAAATACAGCAAAAATGGTAATACTCTCAAATAATATTACAATTTAAAATGACTTTATTTTTTATTTTTCCTGTGATGGCAAATCTTCAATACCACATAATCCTTCAGAAATTATTCTAATATGCTGATTTGCTACTCAAGAAACATTTCTTATTATCACTGATGTTGAAAACAGTCCGTGATAAATTTTTTTTTTTTTTAAGGATTATTTGAATAGAAAGTTCAGAAGAACGGCATTTATTTGAAATGGAAATCTTTTGTAACTCTATAAATGTCTTTACTGTCACTTTTGATCAATTTAATGTGTTCTTGCTGAATAAAAGTATTCATTTCTTTAAAAAAAAACACGGTAGTGTATATTGTTTAAAATATATCCATATGAATCCATATTCATTTAAATATTAACAAATTATTTTTTAATAATTAAACTATATTCATGTCATCTAATTTTTTATTGGTATTTTATTTATCGGTAACATTGGTATGATGACCCTAGTTAACAGAGCGCATTGTTATCTGTTCTGTCACATCTTCAATTATTCATTATTAAATCATAGAGACTTATTTATGTTTTTTGTAATAGCGATCCACACTGGACTTCATAATGTTTGCAAAGCACTGGGGGACAAAAACGCCATCAACATAAATCATATCAATCAATCTGCATGGCAAAAACAAGCCCGAGGGAGTGTTGTATATGAAGGCAAGAACGGCGCTCACCCCTCTAATGTAGCCGAGCAGTTTCAATTAACTCTACCTCATCTCTCATTCAGCGTTCCTCACCTGATCGCAGAGCACTGACAGACAATGCACAGCCGCGTCATTTCTTACCTCTAATCTCTATTCTCTCGAAGAAATGCCACAGCAGAGCGGCCGAAAGCACAGGGCATTTCCCACTGTGACAAACAGTCTGACAGAAAGGGAAATATTCAAATAATTCAAATAAAACGCGCTCATCATGGCTGTTCCACCCGAGAGATCAATCTGGGAGGAACGTGATAGCCGCACTCTCTGTTTGTCATTTGTAAATGCAAAAAGCAATATTTCTGTCTGACCTCGCGCTCGGAGGGTCTGCGACTGCCACCGTCTTGACTATTGAAGTGTGGATTTAATATCAATGAATAACATTGCTAGGCAACCGACAATGTGTTCTGTGTGCCATTGTCAGCCAAGCATGACCTTGGATTTAAAGAAACAATCACGGCGGCTTAAATAGTGCAAACTGACCTCCATTCCGGCACCATCTCACTCTAAATCTAAAAGCACATTGCGCCGCAAACATATTGCGGGCTGTCAGCTGGGCCGCTCCAGCTGTAGCGCTCCTGTCTAAATGCAGTAAAGCATTTACAGCATGTGCACTTATGTACGGAGGTAATTGAAAAACAAGAGGCACGAGTTTCTCACATCCGAGCTGCCTCTCACATGCAGGAAAGCGTAATAAAAGCGGTGTGGAGATAAACAGAGAGATTTGCAGATATGAAAAATGCCTACCGTGCTCAGCCCCGAGCAAACAGCACTCCGGCAGCATTTTGGGGTGTCTGGGGTCAATTTGTACCTTTATTGAGACATTGTTTCCTGGGGAAGAACAGCGATATGGCAGCTTAATATCTCGGGAAATGATTGTGGATGGCTATAGCTGGATGGATGGTGGGTGATTTGCAAATAATGAGATTCAAATGTAGTACTATGAATGTAATGTTACCGATGGCGATCCTTCTCATGGAGTCTGCTTTCGTGGGTTTTTCTGGTTCCAGTACCCACGTCTGCTCATCGATCTCATCCAGCACCGACCAGAACTCAGACAGAGCCTCCACATTTAACAGGAACTGACTGTGGACATTGGCTAAGGTGCTCTGGGTGTAAAACAAAGGGCAAAAAATTTGTCTCAAATGTATTTTTCCTGCTTGAGAGCTGGTATTTGCCTTATGTTTGTCACTAAGCGGCAGTTTACCCAAAAATTTCATTTCATTTTAGTGCTGTCAAGCGATGAATCGTGATTAATTGCATCCAAAATTAAAGTTTTTGTTAACATAGTATATCGCGTTGATCGCGATCTTTGCCTACCGTGCTCAGCCCCGAGCAAACAGCACTCCGGCAGCATTTTGGGGTGTCTGGGGTCAATTTGTACCTTTATTGAGACATTGTTTCCTGGGGAAGAACAGCGATATGGCAGCTTAATATCTCGGGAAATGATTGTGGATGGCTATAGCTGGATGGATGGTGGGTGATTTGCAAATAATGAGATTCAAATGTAGTACTATGAATGTAATGTTACCGATGGCGATCCTTCTCATGGAGTCTGCTTTCGTGGGTTTTTCTGGTTCCAGTACCAATAACGTGATATTTAGTCCCTGGAATGTGAATTTTACTTGAAGATCCCCGCCGAAAAAACATTTCCCCAGAATGCGATTTTTACAGGGGAACCCTCCTTGGATGTCTTTTTCTATCAATTCTTCAATAGGTAGATCTTGTCTTTCATAAAGGCCGAGGTCAGGGATCTTGGGCCTAAAAAGGTTGGTGACCACTGGTATACAGTATGTGTGTGTAGTGTGAATATTTATTATGTATATATAAATACACACACATGCATGTATATATAAGAAAGATATGTTATGTTTATATATGAAATATATTTATATATAATATAAATACATGTAAATACATGCAAATATTTTCCAAATTTATACTGTATGTGTGTGTATTTATATATAAATAATAAATATACACAGTACACACACATATATTATGTAAAAAAAAAAATATTTGGAATGTGATTAATCACAATTAATCTTTTTGACAGCACTTTGACAAAATTTCATTTTTAAATTCATTTTTTTCAATATTCAAATTTTGATATAAATTTTTTTTTTTTTAACGGTTAAGGTGCTGTCACAATAAAATTTTTATGAAAATTTGCGAAAAAGGTCCGTTGTCAATAGTGTATGAAGTTGTATGAATTACATCTCACACAGAAGTCACTTTCAAATCAAGCAGCTGTTGGTCAATGCGCAAATTCGAGTGAACAACTGAACCTATTGCATAATGGTGTAGAAATACTATTGGTTAAACTGGCAGTGGGCGGGATCACACAGACCGAAACAAAAACTGGAATGCAAATTTTAAAAATAAATAAATAAATAAATAAATTTAAATATTAACATATGAATACAGATGAATTGTTTACAATAAGATCAATAACATCCATGTAGAAAATAGATAGGCTGATTGCATTTCATTCCAATCTGCAGAAGGAGTGGAATGATTGTACTAATTAAGACGTGAATACATGATTTCTGCCACAGTATTTGAAACACTTTATGGCACTAAACCATAATCATGCAACTGATCAATTAATTACCATGTTATATTTTTATATATATTATATTTTTGGCATCATATTTAAAATCCAACTGGCTCAAACATTTCAGTTTGAATAGGCATGAAGCCTCTCAGTCCGCGGTTGTACTCTTAAACGTTTTTCCGACTCTCAGAAGTGACTAGACGCTAGAAATAGTATCCTTTTAAATTTTTGTGCAACTCTTGATCTGCAGGAACAACAGTTTTTTTTTTCCAGTCTGACATTGGCTAGGCTGTCTTTAATAACTCCTGAACACTTCTGCATATGGAAGATGTTGATACTGTCCACATGTCTGGTTTCATATCACTGCTTTATACAAACTCTTCAACCCTCTGCCATCAACACTCGGGGAGGAAAATGAAAAAAAAAGAACGATCCCACTGAAGTCTTGCCAAGTCTTCATCAACTACCTGTCAACAAACCACTGATTAAAGCACCAACCAAGAACAAATCAAATATAAAATGTGACTGAACAGGAAAAGACCAAAACTCATACATCAGCAAACAAGAGAAATTCAGCAATAGCGTTTGATCACTGAGAACCACAGACGACCCATCTACAGTTCAGCATAACGGCTTCCTCTAATTCTAACATACACAAACACAGTAGGCCTCTGTTCCCTTTGGAGCTGTCCAGTGGTGAGGCAGAGCTAATGGTTTGAGTATGGCCGCTCATAAATCACAGCTGATGATTGACAGCTGATGGCTCTGGCCCTGTTTCACTCCATGCTGTCAGAGTGAGGGAGCACAGGTCGCCCACACCGCTGGGACCTCAGACCCACGCTCCTCGCTTTCCACCCGGCTGCCAATTCAAGGTCTTTAATCTCAGCCCAAAATCAGAATGCTTTAGTCTGGACACCAGATCCACTCTGCTCACAGCCACGACAACTGCTTTATTTTTAGTGCTGATAAATACGATTAGGCTTATTTAGCATCGAAAAAGGCAGCAGCTGCAATTAACTTTTTGTGTTATCATACTTTTGAATATCTAAAATGATGCCACCCTAACTGCACATATATTATAAGCACTGTAAGTCCATATACTGCTGAAGGTAAACTTTCAAAAATAAAAGATTATATTTCAATTTAGATGTTTTATTTATTTGTCTGTGAAAAAGTTTTTATTTTTTTTTACAAATGTATTTTTAGGGCTGTCCATTTATGTAAAAAACAACAACAAAAAACACTTTTATAGAATTTGAAGTTAGTCATATTTCATTCAGATTTTTAAAGACTGGACGGAAATGAGAATTATGAGATTAACTAATATTATTTAATTCTATTGACAGTCATGTAAGATGATATTATATATATATATGATTGAGCATTAGTGATGAACACCTGAAGGCTGTGGTTGAAGTCAGTTGTAGTTCTTGTGTTTCTCTTTTCTCCTGTGATTCTGCTTGCTAACAGCAGCTGTTCATCACTAATGCACTTAATTAATCACATAATTATCTCATTAACTTTAACACTGCTTCAGTGTTACTTTAACACTCTTTTAGAGTGAGACCATATATGCTCCGAGCAGTGTTAATTTAACACTCAGGATTTTACTGTGTAACAAGTTAAAATATTGGAGTCTTTAGTGGATCTATTACTTACCCAACACAAATGCATTCATGATTACTGCGGAAATCGTCATGCCCACCACGAAGCGAAGCAGGACATATATGTAGAAATTTGGGGCGAAAGCGACCCCCACTCCAAAGATGGCCTGTACTGCTAAACCAATCAATATGATCATTCTGCGGCCATACCTGAAACAGCATAAAACTGTATGTCATTACATAGAGACACTACTGTGTGACTAAGCTCAGTTAGTAATATGTTTCCTAGAAAATAGGTGTGCATGGGTCTACCCTTGTGAAAAAGAATTATTGATTGTGATCTTGCATGTAAGATAATATTATATATATATATATATATATATATACACACACACACACACACACACATATACTGTATACATACATACACACACACACACACACATATTTTAAAAAAGGTTATTAGATATTACAGAGAGAGAGAGAGAGAGAAACATGTCTAAAACATGTTTATATACACACATAGACAGTGTATTTTTAGTGGTCTGTGCATTTTTGCTGTGATCCAAAGGAAAACTAGATTGATTTTAGATAGTGAGATGTTAAATCACATTTGTCAACAGTAATTTTGAAGCATTGTAATATTTCAACAACATCAAATGAGCCAATCTCATTTAATTTAAGAGGGACAGGACTGGCTGCATTTGGAGGATGAGATCTCATGTGTTTTTCTTTTGTCACATAATTTGTGTGTGCTGATGTTGATTATGTGCCTGATTCTCTGATACATTTCCATACATGTTAAATTGAAGAGCACAGAGTCAGAGCTGAATGGAGCAGCCAGAGCTGGTAATTGAACATAACAAAACAAATCAAATGACTTGGGTTTTTTTAGACAGTAGCACTAAGGCAAGGGATATGCAGACAGGAAAATCAAACAGCATAGTAATCTGGATAAATCCAGTCTTTCTTAAGACTAGAACATATTAATGTGAATGAGCTTTTTCCTGATGCCACACAGGTGGGGACGGTTTGATATAGGAAGGAGAGCATAAAACAAATATGATGGGTCATTGTGCCAATACAGCACACTCAATTTAGCATTGCACAGGTGCAAAGACACAGCAATTATTTCCCAATTAATGCCGGTTGTGTGATTATAGTTATGCTTTTATTTAAATATATGGTGCAGGCTGGATGTCCTCATAATTGAATTTCTCTTGGAAATGTGCCCGAAATGTGGAACGGCACAATGGATTCCTCCCCAGTGAGGTGACAGCATGCTTACTGTTCTGTTAACTCTCCCAATTAGGTCCCTCCTCATAATGTTCAATGGTGCATTTTCAGTCATTTAGTGAACAAGTGTCAAGTAAATAAATCAATAATTTCACACAGAGAGATATGCATTCCTTAATGCTCATAGTCTATAATTGTGATTGTTAAGGACCCACCATGTAATGAAGCAATGCTGGGCTAAACAAATTATTATTATAATGCATATAATGCTATAAAAATATAATGCTATATAAAAGTGACAGTAAAGGCATTTAATTTATATTAAATCAGAAACAATTATTTTAAATTGTAATATTTTACGATATTACTTTTTTTAATTAAATAAATCAAGTAAATCCATCCTGGTGAACATAAAGGACTTTATTCAAAAACATTAAAAGATCTTACCAACACCAAACTTTTTATCGGTATTGTATATAATTTTTTTTAAATAGGCCGAGGGGTTAAAATTCATGCAGTGAGCATTGTTTCTCTTTGTGCACTCCAAGAGTCGGACCGGGTGGCTGGTTAAGTGTAAATCCCGCTGAGACACACCTGCACCCCTGTGTCTGCCACCAAACAAAGAGCACACCCCGCCAAATCTCCTGATCTATATTCTACATTACTCACAAACTCACTGACACTCTTTCTCACACACACACACACAGTCAGTTGAGCGCAGGTAATCATTACTCATTCAAATGTATGTGAGAGGCAGGCAGACAGGCCTTTCTCTTCCCTGAACAGAGGAGATGCATCAAGACATCAGCAGCGCAGCAGGACTTCAGCCGACAGAAGGCTGCTGTGTGCTGAGCTGGTCTTCTCTGTCAGAGAGCCATGTTCCACTGCCTCCCTCACCCAACACAACCACAACCCTCCCTAACTCACACCACTGCTGTGCAATATGCCAAGTCGCTTTCATCCACCTCAAAGTAATTGGAGCAAACGTATGACTGAAGAGGAGCCTGTTTTTCAGGGGAGGAGGCGAAAACAGAGGACGATGATAAAAAGAAAACGACAGTGAAAAATGGGTCTCCGTTCTCGCTTTTAATTGTTAAACGTAAGAGGAAACTCGTCGAGGCTCATTAGAGGCCGCTAACATATGTAGCGTTCCAGATCGCCGTCCTGTCGGTTTATTTGGCACAGCTTGAGCCTTTGTGAGCGGAGTTATTGTTTTTTATGGATGCAACATCAAAGCGGCGGTGGAACGGAACACCTTTTAACATGCCTTCAAATGCCAAAAAACTTTGTTAATTAAAAACATTGTACTTCAATAGTTTTTTTTTTTTTAAAGGACAATTTTGGTAATATGATAAAAAGCCAAATCAACTTTTCAATAAATTTTTTTTTTCTATTCAAAAAGTTAAGTAATTTTACGACTATGTACCTGAGAGGTCCATGTGATGACCAACGGAACAGGAAGATCTGCAGAAAAATCTGGGGCCTCAGTTGGATACTAAAAAGAGAGGGAAAAAAAAGAGAGAGATATAATCACGGTTTAAAACAGTATACGTGGTAAGCAAGTAGTAATTTAGCAGATGTTTTTATCAATAAAAATGTTAATGAAAGTCTGGAATGGTGTTTTTCAAATATTAAAGTGTAAAAGGTAAGATAATCATTCATTCTTATTACGGTGTTTTGGTATGTATATAATTATTAAATATCATCCTTACTTGTGCTTCGTGAAAAACATAGCTCTAGTAGTATGTTATGATCGACAGTGTCAAACGCAGCACTGAGATCTAGTAGTAGATCTATAACTAGATTTATATAACTTATATAACTATAACTATAACTATAACTATAGTTATATAACTATAACTAGATTTACTAATCAACTTTTCAATAAATTTTTTTTTTCTATTCAAAAAGTTAAGTAATTTTACGACTATGTACCTGAGAGGTCCATGTGATGACCAACGGAACAGGAAGATCTGCAGAAAAATCTGGGGCCTCAGTTGGATACTAAAAAGAGAGGGAAAAAAAAGAGAGAGATATAATCACGGTTTAAAACAGTATACGTGGTAAGCAAGTAGTAATTTAGCAGATGTTTTTATCAATAATAATGTGAATGAAAGTCTGGAATGGTGTTTTTCAAATATTAAAGTGTAAAAGGTAAGATAATCATTCATTCTTATTACGGTGTTTTGGTATGTATATAATTATTAAATATCATCCTTACTTGTGCTTAGTGAAAAACATAGTAAAAAACATGCTTAGATTATTTATAAGGCAAGGCAAGGCAAGGCAAGTTTATTTGTATAGCACATTTCATACACAATGGTAATTCAAAGTGCTTTACATAAAAGAAAAGAAAAAACGACAGTGAAAAATGGGTCTCCGTTCTCGCTTTTAATTGTTAAACGTAAGAGGAAACTCGTCGAGGCTCATTAGAGGCCGCTAACATATGTAGCGTTCCAGATCGCCGTCCTGTCGGTTTATTTGGCACAGCTTGAGCCTTTGTGAGCGGAGTTATTGTTTTTTATGGATGCAACATCAAAGCGGCGGTGGAACGGAACACCTTTTAACATGCCTTCAAATGCCAAAAAACTTTGTTAATTAAAAACATTGTACTTCAATAGTTTTTTTTTTTTTAAAGGACAATTTTGGTAATATGATAAAAAGCCAAATCAACTTTTCAATAAATTTTTTTTTTCTATTCAAAAAGTTAAGTAATTTTACGACTATGTACCTGAGAGGTCCATGTGATGACCAACGGAACAGGAAGATCTGCAGAAAAATCTGGGGCCTCAGTTGGATACTAAAAAGAGAGGGAAAAAAAAGAGAGAGATATAATCACGGTTTAAAACAGTATACGTGGTAAGCAAGTAGTAATTTAGCAGATGTTTTTATCAATAAAAATGTTAATGAAAGTCTGGAATGGTGTTTTTCAAATATTAAAGTGTAAAAGGTAAGATAATCATTCATTCTTATTACGGTGTTTTGGTATGTATATAATTATTAAATATCATCCTTACTTGTGCTTCGTGAAAAACATAGTAAAAAACATGCTTAGATTATTTATAACTAGATTTACTGTTTTAAAATGTTTAATCTACTTGGCAAAAATGGCAATTTGACTGAAATGATGGCTCCCATAAGTAAAAGTATTAGAAAGTATATATATATATAAAAAATTGCACTCAGTCAAAAGTTTGGGGTCAGAATAATTTTTTTTAAAGAAGTGACAGTAAATTATAATATTACAAAAGATCTCCATTTGAAATAAGTGCTTTTCTTTTGATCTTTCTGTTCATCAAATGCTCCTGAAAAAAGTCACGGTTTCCACAATAATATTGCACAGCACAGCTGTTTTTAACATTAACAGCATTTAACATTTTAACAATAATAAGAAATGTTTCCTGAGCACCAAATCAGTATATTAGAATGATTTCTGTAGGATCATGTGACACTAAAGACTGGAGTAATGGCTGCTGGAAATGTAGCTTTGCCATCACAGGAATAAATTACATTTTAAAATATATTCAAACTAAAAAAACAGTGATTGCTGTACTATTCTTCTTACTTTATTTTGGTAAGCCTTAATGAGCACAAGAGACTTGGGTAATAACAATGGTATATACTATGAATACTGAACAATAGTGCATATTATATACAACATTAATATAAAATTAAATAATAAATGAATACAATTACAGTTACAAATATTAATGATACATTTATATTAAAATAAATTATATTATTTTTAAGAGCATATCCACTCTCAATGCTAAAACACTAGGAAAACTTACCACACCTGAAGGCCTTTCTTAATCAACCTCTTTAATCTTGAAATGCTCTTACATATGTTTCCATGCTACAACCAATAATACAACTATGTGTATGACCTCACAACCCACATTTCCACCGGCAGCAGAGATGCCTTTACTGGCTCCTGTTGAGCAAGCTGCTGCTGGGTGACGGAGGGCCTTGTGAGAGGTGCCCAGCTCCGGGAAGATGAGCAGATGTGAGGTGGGTAGATCACGGCTATTTTTAGCACCCTGCAGGACGGTGGGCAGGTGGGCACAGGGGGCTTCTCACGCCCTGCTGAATCTCATCAGGACCCCGTGGAGTGTCCACAAAGAGCCACTGGCATCTATACCATGTCACCACTTCCAATGCCAGGCAGAGCTCACTCACACTCAGACTAAACCACTCACACGGCACAATTTTCTGCTTCTTCTGTGGCCCCTGTAATCACCTTATGAGGATCACTCATGGTCTTATCTGTGCCACCGCATCCCCGCACACTCTCTCGCCTCTCCTTCAGACCCTGCCACAATCTCATGGTTCCATCTCTCAACATAATCTTACAGTCACAGCACATTAGTGCCACCTGCTTAAAGTTAGATACCTAAACCAAAGTTCTGCTCCTTTTGCAGTCCAGCTCAGTCTGAGAATCTAGATATAGAAAGCTGTGTGAACTTATCCAGCCATCTGTGACCCACAAAAATCAGAAATTTGCAAATTAAATTTGCAAAATATTTTAAGTTTCTTTTTGTGTGAACTCCAATGTGAAACTTGGTTAATAAAAATGGGAAATGGTCACATTTAGACAAATGTGGCTCACTTTGTGTGTATTTGTATATATATTTACACATTTGTGGTCAGTAATAGCATTTTTTAAAGATTGTTTTTTCCCTTTAAAAATATATATATTTTTTAATTCAATGCATGTTCTTTTGAAACTTCTACATATTCTATATACAAAAATATTAAGCAGCACAACTGTTTCCAACTGATGATAATAATAAATGTTCCTTGAGCAGCAAATGAGCATATTAAAATGATATCTGAAGGATCGTGTGACACTGAAGATTGGAGTAATGGCTGCTAACAATTCAGCTTTGCTATTACAAGTATTATACTAAAATGGTTATCTTAAATTGTAATAATGCTTCAGAATATTAATGTATCCTTGGTAAGCATAAGAGATAAATTAATAATGATACCAAATTATTGTGTTAAATTGAAAAAAAACTAGTTTTTACTGAATGCCAATCATACAACCCTTAAAAAGGACCATGTAAAAACTGATCATAAAATATCAAGCTGAGAGAAAATAAGAAATAAAATAGTGCTTGACCCTTGGTTTGACCTTGGACTTGAGCTTGACTGTAATGGCGTGTTGACGACCTGCAGAGTCCTCTGCCTTCAGCTTGAGTGTGCGGAACTCTGCATCAATGAAGAGCAGCCTGCCAAAACAGATCAATAGAACCACACATAAGAGCACATACATTATACACACATCAGACAGGTCAACAGTGACCACTTACAGAACATCTTTTGTAAGTAAAAACATAACTGTTTCACTGAAGGATGTGTATTTTGGTTCTAACTCAATAAATCAGGCAAGATCTTTTGGTTTGGGGGGAAAAAAAGATTTTGGTTGATTTCTTCATTTAAAGAAGCTCCTCAGATCTACACAATCCTTTCTCCCAGCAAAGAGTGCTGAAAGTCTTGAATCGACTACAGCGACCACAGCTGATTTATTGCTAAAATTCCAGCACTTCACATGACACACTTGTATTTCAGCAGCTTATTTACGAGTCGTGTAACAGCATATCGTGGTTAGTCCATACATGCACACTTTGCTCCGAGTATTCCCATTGGCAAAAACTGCAGGATTACATACCCACAATTTGTCCCTAAGCACTGAGATTCACATAATAACTCTGGGAGAAGAACTTCTACACTTTTCTTTGGCTCACACTCTCCTCTGCTATTACTGCAGAAAATAAACAACTTTTTGTACATTAATACAATTTTTTTGTAACTAACTCACTAGTGACCATTTTGCAACTTAAACTTCAGCTCACGATTATTTCAGTTTTTCACCTTTTTTTAATATTGGTGATTATTTTCCTTTTAATTAAAAAGTACAGTGAAAAGTAGTGATGCAAAGAATCAAGTTAAAGGGGTCATCGGATGCCACATGCACTTTTACAAGTTGTTTGAACTGAAATGTGTGTTGGCAGTGTGGGTACACAACCATAATGATAAAGATCCATCCACTGTTTTTTTTTAATCTCGTCAAATAATTTCCCCTTTCTCAAATCAAGCCATTATCAGATGCCTGTCTGTGTGACGTCACACAGACCCAGGCCCTCCCACGATTGTTGATTGACAAAACAGTGGATTACCTTTGTTTTTGAAGGGAATGCGTCCCCCGATCTACCTAAATGCATTTATGTTCGCGCAAATCATTCATGATCCAGCCTCACCTACAGAAGTGAGTATAAGGTTATTTTATGAATCTTTGCAACTCGCCTTTCCTAATAACGTGCTAGTTAGCAAGTTCCGCGGCTAAAGTAAACGGTATCATGAGAACGGCTCGTCACTAGGGTTGTGACGGTGAAGAAATTTTCCCACCGGTTAATCGAAGTTACGCTTTCTTTCTTTGCGTGAACATTTGGGTGGTGTTATGCAAATCTTCCCACATCGTGATGTAGATATGTGGGGGCGTGTTAGAATGAGCCGTTTTAGGTAGGCGTGGTTAACTCTTAACTTTTATAAAGAATATCTCTTTGGATTTGAGACTTTAGTCTTTGCAACTTTACAGATCTTCTTTATGCACCAAGAGCTTGTAACACTCCAAAGAGAAACGAAAAATTGAAATCGCATCATATGACCCCTTTAAAAAAAATAAACGCCTTTATATATTACAAACGTTTACCATAATGCATTGTGGATTACCCTAATAGCAGCAGTCTACTTTATAAATTGGTTTCTATGTACAGGGTTTCCACAGGTTTTATGACAGTTAATTTAAGATTTTTAAAATGCATTTTATTAACAAAACAAAAAACAAACAAACAAACAAAAAAACATTTTGCAAACATTTTGACGGATCCACCTACAAACAATCTTCTTTTCTTTTTCTGTTCCATTGTTCAAAATGTCCTTAATGCTCAGTGTTTTTCTCTCACAACCCATGAAGCAACGGGACAAATCTTTTGCATCACGTTCAATTACATGAGCTTTTGGCACAAAATCACACCAATCATTAATTTCTTCAAAATTGAGATCTCTTTTCTGAGCTGGAATCCCATTCAGCCACTCTGCATTCTACAGGAATCTCCCGCCACAGTATCAGGCCTTGCTGGCGTTCACCTCAGTTGATTGAAACAGCTTGACGGCTCAATGTCTTGCTGGGAGGATTGATGAGAGCATTACATTTGCAACTAGAAAATCAGCTACCCTCGTAAATGGCGAAGGAACATTTGGCATGTTTGCATACAAACAGGCCACAGATGAAAGCATAAAGCTGTACAAGAAACAAAAAAACAAAAAATCGGAAGAGTAAGATGGGGAAAACAAACTGTAATACCGTCAAGGCCACTTTTGCGAAGACTTCTCATCACAACTTTCCAGATATGCAAAAAGCCAGCTGCTGAGAATAGTACAGTTATTCCATTCTCACAGGTGCCACCAGGGATCATGGGTTTTAAGATATAACTGCTGGCTAGAGTGAGATGGTGAGAAGACCAGCCAATAGGAAACCTGCTCAGGTGTCATTATCTTGGCGGGGTGTTAAAAGACCACAGCGAGAGGCCCCGTGCTTCTCTCTCATACATGTGCAAGGTGTGACAAACTCTCACCATGGCTCCCATGCACCAATTGTCTAAAAAAATCTGAACCGTTTCAGATGACAAACGCAATATCTCACAGTGAAATGGGAGCAAAATGGGATCAAAGTCAAAATATTCAAGTTTCATTTACTTATGACCTAACGCTTTGCTGTGCTATTCCAAATAGCATACTTAGACTGCACTATAAAGCAGCCAGAGACTGATGTTTTGTAATTTTCTAAATATCTGACTCTTTTGAACTATTCTGGGGATAAGAGGGGAGAACAGACTTGACCCCATCTATACAGTAATTAACAGTAAATGTGGCTTCTTCAAGGCAACTAAAACTCATTAAAATGACCAGGTTCTGCGGCACTTCCCCCTTCCTAAACCAATCAGGGTCCGCAACTGTGCCGGACTTGAGGCTATTAACAGAGACACGAATTAAGGATCTTAATTAATCTCAAGTGCATTTACAGATAGCACTGGTGTATAATACTTCTGACCGCAATTCAGGTCTGAAACGTGCACCTTATTTCCAGCCTAACTTTTCAGCCTACATTTCCCCATTAAACTTGAGAGTGGGTCTCCAATTAGACCAATTTGCATTTGCTAATATCATAATTATATCTTTGGACATTAATAGAAAGTGGAAAATGAGAAGCCTAGTGAAATCACAGCTTGATATGTGGCTGACAGACACCACATTAGCCTCTTCTATTACAAAGCAAGAAATCTGACACACTGTTTTCATGAAACTAAGTCCTAATGTCCTACATGTTTATAGTAATGCAAAGGATTTGTACTGTATGTAATTATAAGAGAACACAATGCAATGCGAGCCGAGGGAAGCACTAGTCCACTAGAAACATCATACTTATCCCATCCTAAGATCTCCATTTCTGTTATCAGCTGGGAATAATACTGAGGTGGTGAGAAGGACTGACATCCTGGTTGGCTCTTCAACACCACTTCCTGATAATAGACAAGTTTGTAATGATAATCATTTATTCAATCTGCGGGACTCATGTGCTTATTATGGTAATATGATGCTGAACATTACATCATGTGTAACATTTGTCAACATCAATATGGTAATGTCCAGCCCTGGGGATAAATCGTGCAATATTTTAAGAATATTTACCAATACTGTTCTGAGTTCCAGGATAAAAGCCATCAAATTAGCTGAATGCTGTAACCTCTGTTAAAAGAAAATCAATCAAATACAAATATTGTGATTAAACTATTAGGCTACATTAGGGCTGTCAAAAAAAAATCTAATTTCGAATATTCGTCGAATTTAAAATAAAAATCCACATTCGAATGCAAAAACGTTGCATTAAAATTTTAGGTGTGCGTCAGGCAGCCTTATCAGTGGCGCACGAAATGCGACGACGATATAAGTGTCATTGCATTTTAATGTTTTTGTTAGTCTATCCAGTTGAACCCACTAGTGTCGCTGCTACGTTGTTCATTCACAATGTTGCGGGAAAAAATAACATCAATGCAGAGATTATGTTGTTTACGTCAAAACCGAAACTAAACCGTTCACACAGAATGCATATTTATCACATTTTGTAGAGCAGAGGTCCCCAACCACCACGTTCGGCACGCACGTGATTCGCAGATCAATTTGCCAATTTACACGAACAAGCAATTTTAAACCACAAAAAGAAGAAACGAAAGAGAGCTCAATTTGTTACTCACGTGCTGTTCTCGCACACAATCAAAGTGTGCACAAGAGACGTGTTTCAGACGGTGTTTCGCGGAAATAGCGAGTTGCGTATTCATACACATAAAATTAGCCTATGTCAAAAACCCTTCACGGCATGTTCATTCTCTGTGCTTTAAATATTTTTTTTCTTGCTTATCCGAAAAAAATTGTTCGATCTGTGACTAAAAAAAAAACCCACAATATAATGCGTTGAACCCAAGTGTGCCGCACGAGTCTTAAAAAGTGAAGCCATTGCATTTCGATCGCCCCCAGGTGGCTGGTCCCAGTATAGGTCATAAACCCCGCCCTCTCCATGCAATCTAATGGGACATGGGACAAACTAAATAATTAAATTTCACTTCAAATAATTTTTTTCCAAAGATGGCTTTTGTCATTTGATGCAGATTTTATCACGCTGATGTAAGTTCAAGTGTTCGTTTTTTTAAATAATTTTGGTTTTAGTTAGTTAAGTGATGCTATAAAAACGGGAGTGTGACGTCATGATTGACAGCTGAGACTGATCCCAAATCAGCGCAATATGGCCGCGCCCTGTTGGGACAATGGCGGCTTCACTTTTCTTCAATGGAAGAGATTAAAGGTGCGTCGTCCATCTTTTTTTACAGTCTATGGTTGAACCACTATATAATGCTATATATATAACAAATCAAATAAAACTGTAAATAATAAAAAAAAAACAGAAAATAATAAAAATGTACTGTTTATGAGTGACTTATTTATACTGGCTCAACATTATATACACAAATTTAAATGGAATGAAAAAGAATTGGAGCAGTTTAAAAGCATTTTGGTAACTTTATCAAATAATACAAATATGAAATTGATTTTACAGTATTTTTGCTTACAATATAGAATATTTTGTTATAAGTGTAACTGAGATTTATTCATTATTTAAGACATTTTATATATGACTATATTTTGTAAATGGTCTAATGTTCTTCACGTTGATATTTTGTTTGATGTTGTTTATGTTCTCTGCTACCTTAATAAAAAAAGGCAATAACATATACACCGACATAACATTCGACGGCCATCATATACAAAAACTACTTTTAAAGAAATACTATTGCAATGAATCATACTTTGCCCGTTTCATCTGACGATCAGCCGGTAGAGATATTCTTATCCTTAAGTCTTTTTCCTGTCAAAGATAAAATAATGAGAAAAATGTGACACTTGTGACAATCGGTTCACCTTCTGGTATGATTCACACGACACATTACACATTCACACTGTAAACGAAGCTGACAACCTACGCTGTCTTATTTAGCATGATTGTGAACTGAGATGTGAAACTTTTCTTACCAGTACTGGGATGAACCCGTCATAGACTGTCTTCTCCTTATTAAGCGGAATAATCATAGGACTTTCTCTCATCAGCAAACAGTTCATGATGAAAAATAAGTATGCCAAAGCACAGGCTGAATATAAACCGCTAGCTAAACACCTATTTAGATGTCTCGACAATAAACTAAACCATATAAACACAGACTAACGCTTTATAGGCAGAACACTGCTGTCAGAAGCTTTGTCCGCTGTTGTGATACAGGCAAAGCGAAAGTAACTTCCCGCGAAAAGACTCAAGCATCGCTGACGCTGACGTCATTAAAGTTTGAATGACCGAACTTTATTTGAACTAATTTGCAACAGAAATTAATAACCAAATGTATCTCTGCAATATATTAGCAGTGTACACGAACAGAATCTCTCAACATCTTGTAAAAGACATGTGCTATTGTATGACATATAAAGTTTAGTGTTATGCTGCGTTCACGCCATATTGTAATTACCGTAATTTCGAGATGACAGCACGTGACGTTCTACTCCGAGCTGTTCACGTCCTCGGACTCGGAAATATGCTTCTCTATGGCAACACTATCAACGCCTAAACAGAGCCTGCGGTGAAAGTTCCAACAGACACTGAGCTGGTATTTTAAGGTAAACCTTTTGAAAGAGTTCCTGTTTTTAAGTATCTGGGAATTTGGTTAGATGAAAGTTATACTTGGAAGAAACATATTGAAGGAACAGATAACAAATGCAGGACATTTTTAAATGTGATGAGATCAGTTGCTGGAAAAGAGTGGGGAGCAGATAGAGAAACTATGTTAACAATATATCAAGCCCTGATTAGATCTATACTTGACTATGGATGTATGGTGTATGATGCAGCATCAGCAACATTGTTAAGGAGATTAGATAGAATACAGTACAGAGCACTCAGGATATGTCTAGGAGCAACTAAAACAACTCCAGTCAATGCACTATTAGTAGAGGCAAATGAAATGCCATTACGTTTACGTAGAGTAAAATTGTCCCTAGTATATTGGACATCAATGAAGAGTCATGCTGGAGAACATATTTCTAAAGATGTATTGAATAATTGTTGGGAATATACAAAGGAAAAAGGGAAGGGTTTTGGATGGAATATTAATCAACTAGCAGAAAGATATCAGATTGCAAATATAGAATGTAGTATGTCTCCAGTATGGGGCGAGGTACCAGCTTGGTTAATTCCTGAAGTTAAAACTGATTTGGAAATACTAGCAAAGAAAAGGGACTGGGAGGAAATGGGTAATATTAAATATATGGTGAATAGACATTTACAGCAAAGATTTTATGCGAGTACGCATATTTATACAGATGGATCAAAAGACCCAAATATAGGGCTTGCAGGAATAGGAGTTTTTATCCCGGACTTGAATGTATCAATAACTAAAAGAGTATCATCTAAGCTATCAATATATGCTATTGAAATGGTCACTATCATAATAGGATTGATGTGGATTGAAGAGGTAAGACCAGACAGAGTAGTGATATGCTCTGATTCTGCTTCTGTGTTAACATCGTTGTCCACCCATCATTCATGTAGAGAAGACTTATTAAGTGAAATATTGACATTATTATGGCGTGTACAAAGAAAAGGTGTATTAGTCGGTTTCTGCTGGGTGCCAGCACATGTGGGCATATTGGGAAATGAAACAGCTGATAAATTGGCAAAAGATGCTTTAAAAAAGGAAGAAATAGATGTTAATGTTGCTTTCCGTAGGTGAAGTCAAAACTATAATTATGGAAAATATTTTAAAGGATTGGCAAGAAATATGGAATTCAGATAATAAGGGAAGGCATTTATTTAATATTTAAAAAAACGTTAATAATAAATGAAACATTAGTGGTAGAAACAGGAGGGAACAAGTCATTATAACAAGGATGAGACTTGGACACACAGGACTGAATGCATCACTATTTATTACTGGAGTACATGAGAATGGTTTATGTGAGTATTGTGGGGAAAAAGAAACAGTAGAGCATGTAATATACGATTGTAAACAATATGACGAAGAAAGAAAGGAATTAATAACATACTTAAATAAAAAGGGAAAGGTAAATAAGGATTTGGGGTACTTGTTAGGATATGAGTTTAATAAAATTTGTAAAAAATGTTAAAAAAATACATTTATAGTACAGGGTTGAGTGAGAGGATTTAAAATCAAACAGGGATGCTGTAGCCTGATCTGGATTTTAGGGAACCAGGGAAGTATTCTGGAGGAGCTGGAGACACAGCGGCAGATGGGTCCCTGGAACCTGGAAATCTGGTAAAGGGAAGAGTTTATGGAGAATTATATATATATATATATTTTTTTTTTTTTCTCCCTCCCCTCCTTTTTTTATGTTCATAAGTCACTTTGAAGATAATAGCTAACATGACTGCACAACAGCAACGTACTGTAGGTGGCGCTATACATTTAGATTGTTATGCGCCAAAAAACTAAAGAAGAAGAAGAAGAGCCTGCGGTGGCCAGGTGGTACAGCGGTCACGTGGTACAAGTCGTAGCTCTCAGAAAACTCCCAGTTCACAAGTTGTAATTATGAGTTCTACGAGGACGTGAATGCTTTTTATAAGTTGGAATCTCGTAATTACGGGAATTCCGATATGGCGTGAACGCACCATTAGTTAATCACTTGATGGGTGTTTATATTCGCTTATCCAAAATCAAAACAAGCAAACTACACAGTGCAACAGGTAACGTTAGGCTAAAACGCCCCATGTGACGCAATTATTCTAGAAGCATTTTGCAGCAGTAAAAACACAGTTTTATGACTTCTGTTCTCCAAACTAAAATTCCAGTATCGTCATATTTTTGTTGTATTTGCTGGGTGAACAAGTGAACACAATAAACCCAGACTTGCATGTATTAGACAACAAGATATAGTCAACTAACTTATGAAGAGCTTGAACAGTATTTTCAGGACTGATATTTCCAGGTAGGGGCAAGTTGTCACACTTTTCTTTTTCAAACCATACATTATTGTAGTAATTATTTGTTCAAATCGATCGATGCTATTGTATGTTACCTTTTACATGTTCGCTGTTTCATGGATAGTTTTGTATTTCATAAATGTTTTCCTTTTATACTTTGCTGCTTTTGTTGTTACTAGGCTATCAGGACATCTTTTTTGGATTCGATTGGCTCATTTCGAACATTTTTTTTAATGTATTTATCCTGTAATTATAGAAGAGGTGCTTATTTTTATTTACATGTATTTATTTATTTATATATTTAAGAAAAAGAGTATGTGTTTATTAAATTAATTAAAAATGAACTGATGAGAACTGGTTCAAGGCATGTTTCAGTGTATGACATGTTAAATTAACTTTATTTGTTTTCACTGGGCAAGACGGTGGAAACCTTAATTACTATTATTTATTATTATTATTACTATTTGTAGCCAAGATTATGTGTTTAGACTGATTCAGAGAAATACTCACTGGACTAAATAGCGTGACACATACAGTAGCCAGAATCTCACAAATATCAGCATATCAGTTGTTCTCTGACAGGTTTCCAGTGTGGCAATACCCCACTTAAAAAAATATTTTCCCCCAATAGACTATAGCACCTGTCTTGCATTAATACTTCGGTTAAAATATAAACAGTGAAAAATAACTTTCCCCTGCCCTTATCATTTTCTGCTCAGATGCTATGGATGCAGATGTCTATGGATGGATGTTTTGGTGTCTAATTACCCCTTCATTAAGCCTCACAGGCTCTAATGTGCTGTGTGTTTTTAATCCAAAAATTCTCAAATATTCAGTAAAGCTGCCTTTAAGCAAACACACATCATTACAGCTGAGAGTCCTGTATTGGAGTGTGTGATTGTATATTGCTTGTGTAGAGTGTCAAGCGTGCGTGCTACACATTGTGCCTGGAGAGATTGATGTTTTGTCATCCACCTGCTTCTAAGCTGTAAAAGCAAGCGCAGCAAAGGCAAACCTACCCAGCTTCAAAATCCAAACAAAGAAATCTTAGTGGGCTGTTTACATATCTGTGGAAGGATATCTGGGCTTGTGTTGACGGGGTGCTAGAGTGGTTGAGAGATCAGTCCCCGCACAATGGGTGAGTGTTAAATGCTTTTTTGTTTGCGACAGTGAGGAACAATTTAAAGCGATTTTGGCTCTGGCTGTGGTTTGGAGAGGGTGAGCCTGGCAACCTCACATAGGGAGAGAGAGAGAGAGAGAGAGAGAGAGAGAGAAAGGTTCCTATTTCCCTTCACATGCAGATTGTTACAGCCATACACTGCACAGGGTTAATGGCAGTCCTGAATAAAGGATTTAAACAATTATGCTTTTCGGAATTGATGGAGAAACGTGGATTATTTCTTTTCTCCTGCTATTGCCTTATTCCTGCGGCATCTGCCTTTCTTTTATACCTTTTGAGGAGCGTGATCTATTGTGCATTGTTTATCTCCAGCCATGGTCACTTCTCTGGAATGCAATTGGCTGGAACTACATCGTGTGGGTCTTGCTCCCTGCTTTTTTCCCCCTCTCCCTCTCTCTCTAACAGATTCTTTTGAAGCGAGACAAGAGCAGGGGTGGCCGATTTATCGCGCCTCTCCCTCTCCTTGCCATGCATTCATCTGAATGAGAATAAGGAGCTATTGTTCTTTTCCGATCCCGGTAGACAAGCTTTAGTGCTGTTTTTACCAACCGGTTTGAAAATATATCGTTATTGCTAGACTGTGGATCGTGAGATCCTTTTATAGGTGATGATTTATCTGAGCTTCCTTCAGTTTCTCATATAAGATCAGATTAGAACGTTCTTGATTGTAATTTATATTTAGTATTTGTAAATTTTAGAGGACATTTCAGAAAATGATTATATTAAGTATATTGTATTTTTTAGTAGTATTATAGTATTTTTTTTACTAATATAATATAACATTAAAATAACATTATTATTTTTTACATAGTTTTTAGATAATGCTAATTAGATAAATTATTCATATAATATTTTTGCTGTATGTAATTTTGAAATTTTATATCTGTTTCTATAATTTTATTATAGTATGTTATAAATTAAAAATGTAGATGTATATGTTTACTTTCTCAGCCCTGAACACCTGTGCATACTAAGCAGACAGCGAGAATGAACCACTATGATGTAGACTTTGGCATGTGTATTAGTTGCAGCTTTACCAGAGCTCCCATAGCTACCCATTATTTGAATGACTGGTGTAATGAGACGGATCAAACCCGGTGCTGAGCTGACCAGGGAAGCCGTGCATGTCAGCTATTTGGCCAGGGTCCTGGACCATCATTACACTTTCTTTATGGAGCCATTCAGACTGTACATGAAGCACAATATGTCAGTGGAAATTAAAGTGTCCCAGCACTCTCTCCTCGTTCCTGCTCATTTACCGTGCGCACTGGCCGTTAGCATTTGCGTGTCTGTTATGGGACACCTTCCCATGTCTCACCACCAGCCAAATACTTCAAAGTTATATACTGCTTGGATATAGTTCACCAGTGGCTAAAAGTCAAAAAAGGATTAAAAAAAAAAAAGGAAAAGAAATATCAGATTGTACCTTGCTGAATGTCTACAATATGGGAGACTGGGGCTAATTGTCACACCTTTCAAATATCTAGTTCAAAACCCTCTTAAATTAAAATATATTTTTTTGTAAGTTATGTCAACCAAAGTAATTACAGCATAATATATTCACCTTATGTTTAAACAAGTGAATATAATGAAACATTCAGACAAGAGTCAAGTATATAATGAAGGTAGATTTTAATTGAAAGATCAGGTCAGGTTGAGGCAAGTTGTCACGTATTTTAAAGTTGTAAATTTGTACAGTTTATTAATTACAGTATTTGTGGCTAAAACAATTGTTTGATATTTTTTGTTACTTTTTATGTTATCATGAAATGGCATATATATATATTTTGTTATATTGTTTAATTTCAGTATGCCTGCTATTATAGAAATTGACTTTCAAAAATACTTAAAAATGCCTTAATTCTTCAAAAGACTTATTTTTTCTATGTTGCTGTTTATGCTATTATGAAATGGCATAGAATTTTTTTAAATTGTTTTATGTGTTTCAACACACCTGCTAATATAGAAATTGACTTTCAAAAATAAAATGAAAATAAAAAGTGTGGCAACTAGCCCCAGTCCCCCTATATTGTATGTGCCAACTGTAGAATTGACTATAGGAATTAGCTGAATTGCTTATCCAATTATGCTTAGCTGTTAGCACACTGGCACCCATCCACTGCAGTGTGTCTGAATGCACACTACGGCTAATTTGCTGTATCACGCTCTGGACCAAACCCTTTTCTTGTGGAGGTGAGGCAGGCAGTGTGAAGACTTAGCCTGGATTACAGGACTTCAGAGATAGCACTGAATCCAGCCTCCTGTCTGACATGAATTGATCGGATTAGAAAGGGTGGATTCCATCCTTGAGGGGAAACCAAGCATGTTGTATATAATTGACTTTTTTTCTCCCTCCATGTCTTGTGGGTTGGCAGTGCTAGCAGAAGGGAATACTTTAGTGGGTAAATATCAGAAAGGACTCGGGTTTGACCAGGTTGGTGGAGGCTTAGGAGTCCGATCGATATCGCTGGTGTTGAGTTGCAGCGGCAGCCCAGGGACACGGCGCAGAGGAAGTGTCTCTGCGCTGTGATGCTCGACCTGCACATCCACCGAGGTCCAAACGACTCTGCCACGGGTCTTGTTTCAGAGGGTTTTGGTTGTTTACCTCCTTTGTGCTCCTTTTCATCCACTTCCCCCTATCATCTGCTCTCTTAAACTTTGCTGTTTGCTCCTACACTGTGGAATAGACACACATGCTCCAGCTCATCAGAGTGGCATGGATAAGGTTTCATCTTTTTTGGTAAATCCTAGTGTCAAAAGTGGAACTCTCACTTACAGCTTTGTATTGGGCACATCCGGTAACCTTTGAAGTGTGTGTGGAGAATGATCACAGTCATGTGAGAAGGGCTCTGTAAATGTTAGGTCACTTCAAGAAAAATTCTTTACACGAATGATGGCTCTTAACTGATATCTATCTATCTATCTATCTATCTATCTATCTATCTATCTATCTATCTTCAATATTGTGTCATTAGACCAGAGTCTCAGTGAAAAATTGTAATTCTTTGTTGAAAACTGAGCACCGCTCCCGTTTTGGCAAAGAATTAGGCTGAGCTTAATGGATCAATTTTTTGATTATTAAAGCCAAGTCTCTGTGCCGAGACGTAATGCGTTCAGCATTGATCCCTCTTCAGCCTTTTATTGCCGTTACTCCAGTGGCTCTCACATTTAAAAGATATGTTCACACGAATAAAGATTTTACAAAGTGACACGGAGATAAATAAGATTTTGGAGTGCAGAGATCACATTCTTAAAGGAAGGTACAGACGGGAAAGAAGTCAAGGAACCACTCAGCGAGCCTTGAGGGATGCCACAGATTTTGAAACTACAGCATAAAAGTGATTCCTGGAAAATTAAAGCTGAAAAGACTTGAAAACCTGGCCAATTTTAAATTCAGTTTACTTATGTACTACTAAAGTTTCAGTGATGGTGGAAATCATAGTGCACTGCCAACACATAATAACTCTTTTTTTCTATTTTATATTAGATTGATATAAAGTATCAATTTGTCCGAAATGTTTGTGTTTCAGCATAATCTTGATTCATGGTCAGTCGGATGTTGGAGCATTGCTACATTTGAGTATTTCTTCTGGCTTATCCTGACAGTAGAGTTTGATTTAAAGGATGCTGTGGAAAAAGCATCCCGACGTGTTCAAAGGGCCAAGAGCATATGGAGTCTTTATTGACCATACGAGTTGAAATGAACCCAAAAGCATGGCGTGTAATGATTGTTGCACACTGGGCCCACGAGCTGTGCCGTGAGCTAACCAATCAATATCCCATCAATAGCTTTTTATTAAAATTGTTCGCAAGCAAATCAAAATCTATATTGTTTTCACTGAAGAAAAGAGTGTGAAATATTCCATTTATGCGTTAGTCAGAATAACGGAGTGAAATATTGCTTTCTATGCATGATGGAATTAGCGCTCGTTGCCTATATGTATTGTTATTAGAATATCTTGCCCGAATTGATTTTCCTAAGTGATGCGTTTGTGATTAACTTATTTCCATTCATTTCAACTGAGCTGAATTAACTATCATATTACCCCTGTATAAAGATGAGATTAATAACACAACTATTCATTATACTTATGCGATGAATGATATGCTGCACAGGCCGTATCGATTCAGCTGCGAGGAGAGAGTGTGGGGAGGGTTGCTTATCACCAAGCTCTTATCGTTTATTTACCGCTATATATTGGACACTACAGGCCGTTTAAACGACTCTATTTCACCAGCTTGAAATATGAGCCACCGAAATTCTCAATAGTGCATCTGTCACCACAAAAGTTCTCTTTCCGCTCCTCCTTTCCACTCAGCATTGTTTAGCCGTTTAAATCAGATCAGTAATCCTCCCTCAATGATAGACTATTAGACATACACAGGAATTTGAAGAGCATCTTTATTTAGATCAACCGTTCTGAATATTACTGAATAAACTACCCACCTCTTCACTTTCCCCGAGCTCAGAGATGAACGAGGGAGGAAAAAAAAGAGAAAGCAAAACAGATAGTAGGTGTGAAGGCTGAAAAGGATATTCACTGAAAGTTCCCATTGCTGGGGTTTGTTTCTTATCTTTGCAGACGAGTGGGAAATCAAAGACTGGAATGCTGGGAGAACGATGGGGAAACTGACAAAGGGGTGAGCTCTGGAAAGGAGGACGGATACTTCCTGTTCCTGCTGGAGTGACCCGCAGGTCTGAAGAGGAGTGAGGGAGAGGAAGGCAGAGAAAGCGAGTGAGTACAAAATGAGACGAAAGCACAGGAGGAAATGTGTTGAGAATAGAGCTAGTATGAAAAGGAAATATTCATTAATAGACATTTACAGGGTAGTTTGGCCTAGTGTGATGAGTACAGGTCACTATTTTTTTTTTACGTTGTTTGACTTTCTTTTACAGGTTTTTTTTTTCAAGTTTTCTTTTACAGGGTTTCTGTTACAGGTTTTTTTGCAGGTCATTGCAGTTTAATTCATCTATCAAATCCAGTCATTTATGTTTTTGTACCATACTGCGTGAGGAAACTGCAAGGTAATTTCCTTTATATTTGTAACATTGTCATATCTGATTTTCAAATATCTCGCATTCATATTTTACATTCTTCAACGTCTTATCAAGATATCACACCTTTATCCTTTTTTAAACACCTGCCCATTTTCAAGCAGTTGTAATTATGTCAGGAAAGAATCTGCAGTCACACATGCCAGCCAAAAGAGGGCAACATGATTTCAGAATTCCTCCACATATGAGAACAGAACAGTGTCTAGAGGGTTAAACGTGTAAGTAACAATAATTTACATTTGCGTTTGGAATGGCTTCCCTATTCTGTCAGTCGGCAGTTCAAAGCAGTTCAACACTCTTGGCAACAAAGGAAGGTGTTGTCACATGCGTGAGATATTCTGGGGCTGAAATGAAGTTGCTCACCATCGGCGTGTCATCATGGAAGGACATCTCCTCCATGATGACTGAATGAAAACAAAAGAGAAATTGCATTAACCTATCATTGCTGAAACAACCTGCTGTCAAAGAAATACTGTAGCTTGAGATCATAAGGTTCATTATATTTAGGCAGTTCCGGTGTTTAAGAGTGATGTGATTTAATGAGATATTTTTTTTTTTTAGTCAGTGTAACATTTAGCGGTTCTTGGAAACACTGGTGATATTACGTTCCCAATTCGACATTATCACTCATGAGCTTTTCAATATAACTGCACGTGTTCTTTGCATCAATCAAACGAAGGCTAATATTCACAGCAAAATTATTATCGCAAGATTGTTTTGTTTCTTGCTTCCAACTTGATAAAATAAAGCACATGCGTACCTTTGCATCAAAAGTGCATAATTGCACACGTGCAAATGTATGTATCTGTCTACTTTTTGTTTGCAAGAAAGGCTTGGCAGCATGTATTTACTGGCTGAATGTGTTTGGTGCACACAAGCGTGGATGCAAATTTTCTTTATATGTGTTTGCTCAGCGCATCCTGCATTTCACATGTCAATTTCTTTTACGAAATTGACAGCCTGTTTTGACACGCGGCTGCTTTTGTTAGTTGACAGAGGCCACTGCAAGAAAACTGTAGAAGGGTCAACTGCACTTCAGTCTCTGACCAGCAGAGGGCGGCTTTTTCAGTCTAGGCAAGTAAAAGGGCATTTTTGTGGGTGCATCAAGCTGTTTTTGGATTTTTGACAAATGAGCATGTTATTTAGTGTTTTATTTACATTGCAAACATAGCATTTTTTTGTGTAAATATGTAGCTTGTAAAAACATGTAAGTTGAAACATCAGATTGGATGAGTAGTCATGTGATTTTTAATGCTTCTGTTTTGGAAGCATTTATTATTATTTTAATTGTTGTTGTTTATTTTTAGTGCATGCATGGACATAATAATTATTAGTAGTATTACTATTGTTAATTTATAATCATTTGTTCATTTTAAATTTTTGATCCTGTTTTACACATCTCACTGAATTGCTTTCTGTGTATGATTTTTTTTCTTTTTTCTTTTAGCCTAATAGTTTTATTCTCCATTCAGTGTCTTCCGTTCAATCTCTTATCACTCCTGTCAGTATTATTTCCATAACTGTAATGCACTTGTAGAACAATTCAATTAGGCTGGACATGCTGTACAATTAGGTTTTCCTGTTATGGAATTTAACGGTAAATTACTTGCATATTTCCCAGTCATTTGCAAGTATGCAGGGCCCATTTCATCTCTGAATAGGACTGGAGAGAAATCATACAGCCATCCTTCTTCCTCTTTTTTTCTTTCTTTCAAAACCAGCGGCTCGACATTAAAGAACTAAAGGTCAGACAATACTCTTAAAGTTGAAGGTGACCTATCTAAGCCTCATTTAAACTTTCTGTGGCAGTGCAGTTCTCCAGATCATTGTGATTATAAAACGTCTGTTTTATCAATATCATCGCTGCCCTTTGCGGGTGCAGCCGTGCTTGTGAGATGCAGATCTCTCGCAGAATGTCACATTAAACAGGTGTGCAAACACTCCATCTGTTTATAAATGAAGTAAACATGCATTCTTATGCACATCCTTGCAATAACTAATTATGAAACTTCAGTTCTTCGGCTTTTTGTTGTAAGTGGGTTAAAGTGTGAACGTGAGATTTGCTGATGTCTGCATTTTGTATTTTTAAGCAACAACAAAGAAGCGCTTGTTTGTTTCTTTGCATTAAGCTAATTGATCACCGCATGCATTTGACTGATATGCAAACCGTTGTTTTGTAGTAAATGAATTCAAGCGAATTCCAGCTACTAGAATATTCATACGACTGTAAACACATGTACATTTTTATTCTTGCAGGATAAGTTTAATTAAGCTCACTTGAAAGTATTATCTGTCTTTATTCTGAGTTGTATAACACTTGTTCACTCACAACACGCTGAAGTCTATTAAAAGTTCCGCACAAAAGCTTTGTTTTGTACGCCGTTCCTCCTCGTTTCTAATTGCCGGCTGATATTTTAGCCCTCTGAACCGAATCAAAACTATTCTTGCCACAAGTCTTTTCGCTGGGTGGCACAGATGTACGTCGCTTTCTCAGTCTGCCTGTGTAGAGCGTCTCGGCGAAGCACGTTTCTTCTCAGAGCTGTAACTGACATGACACCTTCTCCTCAGCGCGGATCCAGGGATGTGTCTAATCGGCGCTGGCAGAACACTCTCTGCTTAATTTTAGCCATAATGGCTGTGAGGGGTGAAATGATACTTTAAAGAGGATAGAGAGAGAGAAAGGGAGTGAGAAGGAGAGCGAGAGACAGTGAGGAGGAAAAAGGAGAAAAAACAAAAAAAAAAACCGAGAGAACTTGAAGGTGATTAGTTGTTCTGGAGAATCTTGGCTGTGGAGGCAGGAACACTAATCCTTGCTTTGGTTGGAGCCATTTTGCGCAATAGGTCCCTGATTCCGCCCCCTCTCAATTTTAAGAACCGTGTCAAGCTCAAGCTCCTCTCCTGCGCCTCGCTGCTCTCATTTCCTATGCCTTCTGGCGAAGCCTGCTATTTATAAGAAATCATTTTTCTTCTTGCTTTTATTTAATTCTTTCCTACTTGTTTGATTTTCTGCCCTGCTTAGGAAGGTGGCCAGATGAGTGGCAGGGATCCAGAGGGTTCCACCGCTCGCATTCTCACACCCAGAATCCTCTGTTACGGCCCAGCTGCCTCTCTGGCTACCTGAGCCTCATCAACACAACCCCCCCCCCACACACACACACATAACATCACGCATGCGCAAACATAGACTAGTAATCATATAGTAATCTATATAGCCCAGCGCTTAAGACCTCACTGTTCATATGCCTTTGTTAAAAGCGCCTACTTTCTTTTGTCAGTGCTATAGGGTTCTAGTGTGGTTGTGAGCGAGCTAACAAGCTCTCTGATCCAGATCTATTATGTTTTTATTGATAGGTGTATCCTCATCAAAGCAAAGCTTTAGGCAGTTTCTCATCATTTGCTTTGAATGCGTGCATGTTTTTTTTTTTTTTTTTGCTGTAGATCTACTATATTGCCTGATTCAAACCTGATTCGGGATTGATTTTAGTTGTATCTTGAGTGAACTTTTTGCTGCGATGTCTATTGGTATTTATTAAATTGGTGCAACAAAATAGCATGTTTGAAATTCTTCAGGTATGGAAAAGATATGCGTTTAAATTAGGTTGTCACATAAAATAAAACCTGGAAGTTGGTGGAGAATGCGGGAGGTTAAGGTTTTTGTAATGAGGTGAATTTCTTATTGCAGGTCTCTCTAATTCAGCTGTTGCAGTGTGATCAAATCCTCATGTGAGACTTGCATTAGGAAATATTGAAACTTATGGAACAGCGAATGCTGAATTACCTGCTGTTGAAATATTTTGTATAGCAGGAGTTTTTATTGTGGTTTCACCTTTTTTCCTTTCCTCACCTCCACAGTCAGTATTATAGCGACTATAAGGAATAATTAATAGCTGGACAACATCAATTAAACTTTTTAACTATACTATACTGTTGTAAAAAAAAAATAATAATAATAATAAAATAAAAAATAAATAAATACATTTCCTAAATTTTTTTTAGTTTTTTTTTTGGTTTGTTTTGCTGGTGAAAAACAACAATAGATATTTTAGCCAAGTATACTTTGCCAGGTTTTATCTATGAAACGTTACTGTTGTGAAAAAAAAAATGGTCACGCTTGTGACCATCGGACCATTAATAATATAATGAATTGAGTAATGCTTTTGACACCTGCATCGAGTCAGGGCATGAAGTCTCTATTTCAGAGTGTTGTCTTGAAGCGCTGCTCCGCTGTCCTTGCCAGCCACGTCCAATCAATCGTCGAAAGACGGGCAGGAGTGGCAGGAAAGAATTAATGAAGGAAAAGTTTCTCAGACCGGTGTCACTTCATGCCAGGAAACTTTGTCTGAAACCCTAATGTGCACGGGAGACGACCGAGGAGGGGGGTGGTGAGAGCAGTGTCCGCTGAAAGATATTGATATAGATTTTAATAAATGTACAGGTGATGACACCTAAAATGCCACTTCCACAATGCAGTTTGACAGTGTATTTGTACTAATAACCCCTAAGAGTGGAGATGAAATAGTGGCTGTTCCACTGTAGCCATGATTAATGTGGCTGAAGTAATTAAATTCCATTAGGCCCTGGGATCACCTGCCAGTGGAAGCGGGTGGTGGGCCACGTTGAGGCAGCCATCCTGGACCTGGAGACTAATGCTTTTTAAAGCAGCGCTCCCAATCCCGGCCA